ATCATCCTATGAACCACGAATTCTTATCGATAAGCTCTGATCACTCCGCTTCCAACCTTCGAAGCCTTGGAGCTTCTTCTCTCAGCCACCGTGAACTGACCACATGCATCATCTATAACGACTGGCTAGAAACTCCACATGTCGATAAATCTGAGCGCTTTATCGCCAAATTCACGATGTCTCTAATGACCCACGGCAGTGGTCTCGATGATGCCACAAACACGACTGTCACAGAATCAAAGATGTCAATCTGTGACAATCGCATTCACCTCCTCCTTGCTTCAACTGGCTCAGTCGCTACTATCAAAATAGCCAATATCATCAGCGCCCTCTCCCCTTATATTCATAAGCTCTCGATACGAGTAATCCTCACCACCAAAGCCAAGCAATTCTTAGCCGGTCAGTCCGCCGAGCAGCCCACCGCCTCGTCCCTAATTTCCCTCCCCGGCGTGGAAGCCATCTATGATGATGAGGCAGAGTGGGGACCAGAGCCTTGGCACCGCGGCGTTGATATCTTGCACATCTCTCTCCGGCGCTGGGCAGATATCCTCGTCATTGCTCCTCTTTCTGCAAACACCCTAGCCAAGCTCGCCAACGGATTTAGCGATAACCTATTGACCTCCGTATGTCGAGCCTGGGATACCGATGGCCAGGTCGACGGGAAACGAAAACGGATCGTAGTTGCACCGGCCATGAACACGGCTATGTGGCGGCATCCAGTGACAGCTCAGCATATCCGGGTGCTAGAGGAGGAATGGGGCGTTAGAAAAGATGAGGATAAGGGAGAGGAGGTAGGCTGGTTTGAGGTTCTACAGCCGCAGTTGTCTAAGGTGTTAGCTTGTGGGGACGTGGGTAGTGGCGCTATGTTGGAATGGTCCGAGATAGTCAAGGTCATTGAAGATAGGCTAGGGCTGAGTGACTTAGGGTAGATAGGATCCATCCTTTCCCGTTCCTTCTGGTCTCCAGTTTACCACATTCACCCGGTCCTTTGCTTCCGTCCACCTCTGCTGTGACAGTTCCATTTCATCCTTCTTTGGGTTCGGCATATTTACATGTTTTCTATCATCTCACACAACAGGTGTGGGAATGGTGAAAGGCGCTCTGTTGAAAGAACTAGGAAATTTCAAAGTTGCAGTCATGATGGTCCCAAACGACCGGTTCTGAAGGAAAATGAGGCCCAGATACCTGCCGCATCGCACTAATAGCCTTTGATTTAAACAAGGATGAGGATAAAGTTGAGCACGAGGAGTAAAATAAGGATGATTGAACCCAGACTAGAGCACGGGCTGACCTTGCGTTGCATCGTGAAGACATTTTTCACGGCATGCACTCACACTCCAGGAAAGCCAAAAGTCCCATAATTTCCCTACACTTCTGGATACTGTTGATTTTTGCACTTCAAAGAAAAAGGCCAAGAAGTAGAGTAGTGTGTTGGTGAGTCAGTAATGAGTAAGGCTAGGGTACGGCAGCCGATTTGGACCAAATTTGACAATGGAGTTTCTGCCATGCAGAAACTTACAAATCGCCGCTAATGGAACCATACAACACTAGAAAATTATATAGTATAGTTACACCATAGATCTATTTCTATTAACTTTCTTTTGGCTTGCTTGGTTTCACCTAATGGTTACTTATCCTGAACACCACGTAAAGGTGCAAGCTTTGCTCAGGTGTCGTACACAGGCCCCGTACGACTAGGGAGGGTATCATATTAGGGGAAAAAAAAGAAAGCATACTTAGTGTCAGGGTGCGGGCTGGCAGGACGGTATGATAGGAGATGACTGGTAGGAACAGGTCGTAACAGATCAGATTCCACTTGACAGGTACAGGCAGGGGCAGGCTATTATACAAGACGTAGCTCGAAGAGCTACAACAGGATCTAGAACTGAAGTTCAGATAAACAGGTCGGAGATCACGTGCCGTGATCTTCTGTTGAACGAAATACAGCGTACTTTTCCACTAGACCATAACAAAAACCAAGATTCCTGTTTATGGCCTAGGGGGGCCGTATTTGAGGTTTGACATCTTCCTCTAACTAAGCATCACGGATCGCACCGTGACAATAATCGTCTTCAATCAGAATAGGATTCGTCTCTGTGCCTAGACCGGAAGAATGGAGTAGAACGACCGTAGGCCAGTCAGCATACTCTATCGAGATTAGTCTTCCGCACGACCCAGTAAAACCCAGACCCAACCCAGACCCAACCCAG